TATTTCTCCCAACGTCATATTTGAAGGCCTGCTGGGAAAGGTGGAAGTTGCTGATCTGATTCGGTTTGGCATTTTTGTCTCTCCATGGAAGTAAAAGAAAAGTAAAATATTTATGTACATTGTTATATAATATTTATTAAACATTATATTCATTTCTAAGCACTGAGAGGCCCTTTTAGTTTTGTTTCTTAGGTGTTCCCTTTAGACAAAGTCTTGAGTTAGATACTCACGGGGATGTGAGGCTTATTTACTTTCACTTCCTGAATTAGACTTATTTCCATCTGGTTGAAATGGTGGCAAGCTGTCAAGTGACCTTCTTTCTACTGTTCTTTTCCTGTCCCTAGAGAATATGGGCTGTCATACTTATCTTTAAGAGCTAGTATTGGACTTTGGACTGCAACCCTGTGTATTATACTTGTGGCCACTGATGCAAGCTCCCTTGTCTGCTATATCACCCGGTTTACTGAAGAAGCTTTTGCTTCTCTTATTTGCATCATTTTCATTTATGAGGCCCTGGAGAAGTTATTTGAACTCAGTGAAGCATATCCAATCAACATGCATAATGATTTGGAACTGCTGACACAATACTCGTAAGTATTATTTCCCCTCTTGGCTGTGGGGCTTTTCTTTTCACAAATATTGCTATTGTTACAAAAAATATCAGGAACTTACTCAGCACACAGAGTTCCTTAAATTGATTCATGAACTAAATCTTCATATCTGAGAGCTATTCATCTGATACTTGATTTCTCATTATAACATCTCTGCCAAGAATATCTTTTTGAAGTTCTGTCTGTCAAGCATTCTCTATTAAGTAGATAATGATGCAAAGTCAATATTACTATACAGTGATATTTTTTGCAGAATATTTTTGATTTTGGTCTTCCTTTAGGACCTTCTCCATTTAATGTAATTCAAAGAAACACAGTAGTGAAAAGATAAGATTTCAGATTAGGAGCAGTGAGGTAAAAGAAACTCATTAGGTATGAAGTGCATTAGCTTGATGTTTTAAAGTATGATAAAACGCGAAATAAAAAATCACTGAATTGAAATGTAATTTTGCTTTTGGAACCTATGACATTTATGCTAGGAGCGCTCAGGTGTTGCCTGTTGAAGGTGGTATACAGTTTAGGGTTAAAGGTGGGATTGTACCTAGTGTATTTTCCAGTTTTAGTATGCCAGCAGTTTGGAATTTCTCTAAGGCTATGTTTGCAGAGTATATGTGAACATTATATTATTCTTCTTTGATTTAATTTTAGGATTTGTTTGCTGCATTTATATGTACATTTTTAAACAGGTATCTGATGCAGTATGTTCTTTACAAGGCAGTCATAACCTCTGCATCAATCACCAGTGCTCTTTTAATAAACTACTGAGGTATACTCTCAGGCTCTTCTTTTGAAGATTGATTATCTTTATCTACTACTAAAAGTTGAAATTGTTGAAATTAAGCCAAAATAGTGTAATGTTATAATTTTGTTAAGGTGATGTTATATGATACAGTGTTGAAAATGAGATTAATTTTAGTACTTTGAATTTTATTTCGTCACTAGAGGTATCTTTAACAGTGCATCTCTGTTTTTGCACAAGAAAAATGAGAGTGGAATATAAAATAAATTCCCCAATAAAAGTAAATGGTGAGGGTGAATAGGATTCAGGAGGTGACGAAGGAGGTATCAGGGACACTCAGAAAGCAGGCAGATAAAAGAAAAGTTTAATCAGAAAGAGAGATAACATTGATACATGCCTTTATCTTTAACTGAAACAGAGCAGTGTTTCACCTAATTTGGATATCTTTGCTGGGATATATAATTAAGCCTGCTTGGATTTTAAAACTCACTATGTACCAGGCACTATGCTGGGTGCTAGGGAAATCATGAATAATATTCTGTCCTCACTGAGCTTCCAGTTTAGTAAGAAATGTAGACAGACAGCACAGTGGAATAAGTGCTGTGTTAAGGGATTGGTGCCACAGTGCCACATCAGAACAACACCTAACAGATTTTGGGTTCAGAGAAGACTTCCTGGAGGAAGTGACATAGAAGGTGAAAAAGTCGGTAGGAGTTAGAAAGGTGCTGAGGAATAGAGCTGGAGAGTGGGTCCAGTGGTGAGAATGGTGCAGACGTGGATGTGAGGAATTCGCTAATGCTTTGGAATATTTGTCCAAAGTTATATAGATAGTGGCAAAACAAGAAATCAGACTGAAGTTTATGACTCTGGTATAATTCTCAGTGCTTTAGTAATTTGTATTCTTATGGATACAAATTAGCTCTCCAAAAGAAACAATATGGAGTAAATAAAACAGATAAAAGCAGAACTACTCTGTTTGAAGTAGTGGGGAGGCACCAGTTGTCCACCCTGCAGCTGTTCCCTGGACTATCAGTGGCAGCTTATAAGTTACTTCAGACCAAGGAATGCAGTTTAAAATCCCTGGTCTAGAAAGGAAAAAAGGTAGAGAAGCAAGAACTGAGCCCTGGATAATGGTCACATCTTTCATAAGAATGAAAAAAATGCTACCAATAGACAAAAAATAAAAAAGAGCCATCAGACAAGGAGAAAAATATGGATCATGCCAGTTTGTAAAAGGCAAGGGATAAGACTGTCAAGAAATCTTTAGGGCAGTGGTATAGAGGTCAAACAGAATAAGAAAAAGAGATCATCGTTAGTTTTAAGAAAAAGTACTGGGTGGGGAGGGGAAGCGGGACAAAAAGTCAGTTGGCAAAAATATTCGTAAGGGAGTAGGCTGTGAAGAAGTGGAGAAAGTCCATTTTGATGTCAAAGAAAGTGAAAAACTGCCTGCTAGAGAGAGCAGTGAGATAGTGAGAATGGTAATTTGTGCTAGAAAAGAAGTATGTGTGTTTGAAAATGAAGACAAAGAAAAAAGGAAAGAGAGATGTGAGATCATAGAGAGAGAAGTGGATAAACATGGGATTGCAACCTTCCAGAAGTCAAAAAGTGACGAGATCAAGACAAATTGTAGGGTTAAGACAAATGCTCAGAGGGTAATTTGAGAGCTAACATAGCTATGTTTGTCCATGATTCCTGCTGTTATGGTGATCAAGAGGAGAGTGACACAGATCCTCTCCTTTTCCAGCTACGCTTTTTTTAAAAAAGATCTCCACGAGTTTAAGTTAAAGCTGTGCCTTTATCACAGTGTGCACATCTTGAAACCTACTATTTGACGGCTGAGCGGGAACGTGTGCCATTCACTGTGTTCCATTGTCCAAATGTCCTCCCCAACCAAAATTAGGAGACAGAATGAGTAGAAAGACTGGTTCATCCTGATGGATAGTGAAGTTTTAGCGGTGCCCGGTCCTGAAATGGGTAAAAGGGGAATAGAGAAAGACAGTCTCCCTGGGAAATGTGATACTGACCACATACCCTCACTGCACTGCCCTCACCTTAGTTTTGACATCATGATTCCCTGGTTTCGAGAGCCACTCACGTTGTGTACATGATTCTGATCAGGTATTGCCATTACTTGCTCTTTGGAGAAGGAAAATCAATCTTTTTGCTATGTGTATCATGCATGTGTATTTTATTATACTTTTAGTTATATACATTAAAGAAAATAAATTATTGCTAACAATAATAGCTACCGTAATGTGTTGTGTAATCTCACACTTTTGCACAAAACATTTTCTGTTTCATGAAGTCCACATGACACTTTTGGTGGTCTTGTTCTAGTCACCGTGACCTTTGCACATTAATCAGGTTCTGAGTGTCATTATACTTATGCTCACCTAAAGTTTTCTACTCGTGTGGCTGGTCTCATACTTTCACAGTTTTTGTGAGAAAAATGATTAGAAAATGTCATAAATAGGACACAGTTTACTGAGACTGCAGTTTTTGTAAACTAAATGTGCTTGTGCTGCCACGTATTTTGTTTAGGTGTAAAATATTGAATAAGAGGATGATATTTAGGATCTCCATTTCAGATATTCTTTATTCTTGGACTTGCTTAAATTCATAGTTTTACCAACCAAATAACAAACTGTCTTTGAGTTTTTAAAAGTCTTCCTTAATTCCTCTGACATCCTAACCTTCTGATGTGGTAATGTGTAGACCTTCTATTTGAAAGTATAAGCTTTCTTCTTGTGCCAAGAGCAAGTGTCAAGATAATCAATTTAGTTTCAAGAATATACACATTACACCAGATGATCAAGTTGAATATGTCAAGTTAGCAATAAGTAATGAGTTTGTGGGAATAATTTTTTCTAGGTTGTTTTGATCGTAAGAAATGGCAAAAATAGAATAAAGCATTCTGCTTATGTTAGATGAAATGTTCCTTCAATATAGTAATAATCTAAGGCTCTCAAAAATAGCTAGCTAAAGGAAGATTAAGGTTATATTAATCTTTCAGTTCATTGGGTCAAATCAAAGAGTAGGGTCTATTACTCTAGTTTTCAACATATTAGCAGACTAGAGTTAAATAATAGCCAATAATTACCAAGCTGTTAGAAGGAGTGATATCACTACTAGGTTATAAGAAGTTTGTTGTTTTTCCTGTCTCTTCATCATTTTTTCCAACACCCTCTACATAACTCAGATGGTGGTCTGTTAGGGATAAATGTTATTTATTGACTGACGTTATACTCATGGAAGAACATTGTTTCTTATCTCGTCAACTGGATTTGAGCTTCTAAAGCAGAAGATGTAGCAATTTTATTCTCCACATGATGCTATGTCCCAGCATAATATTATGGATCTAGTAAGTGATACTTAATGCATATTGATTAACTAAACATGTAAAATTATTGACATCACCTGGCCAGTCTTGTTTGACAAGTAGACAACTGTGTTCTTTTACAGTATCTTTAACATTACTCCTCAAGATTTCAACTAGAAGGTTTAATAAACTTGGACTGTTGTAAGAATCTTAGTGTGAAATAAAGATATACAAATTTGGATCTATAAAACTAGTTCTCAACTGAAAATTTAGACAGGGTACCAGTTTGATGGAGAAATCATCTGGAAACAAAGAGAGAGAGTCAGGGCTGTACCCATAGCAGAACTCCAAAAGTTGATCAGAGATGTGGGGAAAAAGAAGGTGAAAGCGAAGTTATCATAACTCATTGACTTTTTAGCACTCATTAGTCAAAAAATAAAGACTAAAAATCAGATTTGAAGAAATCCCTGCATTTCATCTTTTTTAATCACTTTTTTTATTGCATATACACTTGACAAAATTTATCCAGAGTTGCTTGCAGCATGACTTTATAATTATATATTTAAGTATTTATTTGTGTAACATATATGTAACTCCAACAGATTAACCTCCATAAAGCTAGGCCCATGACTACTAGGCACACCTTTGTACCCACTATGCTAGCAAGTGCTTGGCACATACAAATTGAAATGTTTGTTCATATTTTTACATTTTGGAAAATGCTTCCTAAAACTGATACACTTTTAGCATAGAGTTTTTTCCTACCTTGAAAAGCTGATATTACGAAAGTGGATTATCTGACATTTTAGAATCAAATACGTACAACAGCCAGGCACTCAGTAAATAATTACTCAACAAATAAACTTCTAGCAGCCCATCTCATTCTTGATTCTTAATTCAACACTTGCTATCCTCATTTGC